GAGTCTGGGAAGCTAAATAAAGCAGGGCAGGCGGCAGAGAGTCACTGGGGGACTACTTTTGAAAGGGCAGTCAAGGAGGGCTCCTCTGGGGAGGTGACATCTGAATGAAATCCTTAGTTTTTGGAAAGATCCTGGACTCGGGGGGTTCTCAATCTCTGCGAGGTGGACAGAATGCTTCCCCACTTGGTTATGGTTCTGCAGGCACCGTGGCATGGGCCATTGTAGGTGCAGAGACAGCCTTCTCCCTCCCCTCGTCTAAGTCAGCGAGTCCCTGAGCTTCCCCAGGGGTGGGGTCAGGGCCATTTTGTTCATGGCTGCATTCCCAGTACCGGGCATGGCCTGCGACATGCAGAGGACATACACACGGACATCGGAATGAATGGCAGACGGACATAGGTAATAGGAGCTAACATTTATCTAGTGCTCATTCTGACAACAGCCCGGCGAGCTAGGAAATATTATTATCCCCAGTTTACCAACATCGGAACTGAGGCTGAGATAAGCCAGGGGCTCAGGTAAGGGCACTCGATGGCAGTGCCTGTTGGGAAGAGCAGGCTAAAGGCTGACAGACTGATGGACTGGGAGGAGGCCGAGTCATGTGGTGGGAAATGCTATTGCCTTCGGTCTGAGACGCGCATTTTGAGAACCAGCTCATTCGTTTACTCATTCATTTAATTGGTTATTCAATAATTATTAAACCTCAGCCCCTGTGCTGGGTACTGGTAGGTACAAGCAACCAGGCAATCATGATATCGCGTTGTCAGAGCTGGGATGGGAAAGGCTAGGGGTCTGGGGAAGTTCCTGGGCCACACCGAAGGGTCAGGAAGCATTTCTGGGTGAAGTACGCCTGGAGCAGCAGGTTGCTGTGGCTGGGCAGACTGCAGGGGGAGATGCTTGGAAATGGCCGGCGGGGGTGGTGGCAATGGCTGCACAAGCCCGAGATGGAGGTGGCCCCAGTGTCTGGCAGTGAAAACCACCCCTCTGCAAGGCTCTGAGGCCTCCTCCCGGCCTTTGGTGGACGGGCCACTGCGGGTGCCTGAGTCACTCTGCCCCATCCCCAGGCCAGGTTGGGACGATCTCACCTCTGAGTGGCAGGCATTCCTACTCCTCTGGGCCCAGAGTCAGAGTTCAGTGAAAAGCAGGTAACTTAGGCCAAACCAGACAAGACCAGATGCCTCGCTCTGCCTGTGGCCCTGAGCTGGTTCCCTCCTGTGGGACTCAATTTACCCTTCTGTAAAAGGCAGTTTCAGCTACACACTCTGCAGACCCATCATCGCTTACCTCTGGTGACCCCGCACATCACCACCAGTTTGGGAAGTAGACATAAGTGCTGGGGGTCAGGACTCCTTTTGCTTCAACCCCAGCCTCTCTTGGACATCTGGACTAAAGGTTAAAAAAATATATTCAGGGGCTCCACCAACCTATTATTAATGGGGCGACCTACCATGCAAGTCCTTTCGGCAGGTTTCTGCAGTGGGAAGAAGGAACAGTCGCCCCCTCAGGGTCACGGTTGCCCTCCTCACCCGCAAGCTGGCCTTGTGAGACGCCTACCTCCCACTCAGCATGCTCTGGGGTAGGACCTCCACTAAAGGACGCCGCTGACTGGAACGAGCTGGAGGTCCAGGGATCTGTTTCCATAGAAGTGGGGATGGCCTACGGCAGGACATTCTCACTCCTCCACTCGGCCTCCTCCACTGGAGCAAGAAACTGCGATGCGGCTGGTGTAGAGCGAGCTGACACACAGGAGAAGCAGCCGAGGCCTCTGACCAGCACGCCCCTTGACCACAGACACCTGGGCCACTGCAGCCACCGTCCACTTCTCATTTCCTCTCCACTCCTCCGTCTTGCCTCTATTTCGAGCTCACCAACGGCTTCCCATCGCATCTAGAACGTAATCCACAGTTTTTCCCACGGTTTCCTGCTTTCCTACCCCTCCTCACTGTCCTCACTCCGGCCACACTGGCCTCCTTTCAGCTTCTGGAAAATGCCCATCTCTTTCCCACCTCAGGGCCTTTGCACATGCTGTTCCTTCTACATGGAATGCTCATCCCTCATAACACAGCAGAGCTGGCTCCTTTTCACTTAAGTCACTGCTCAAATCTTCTTCCTCAGAGGGGTCTTTCCTGATCCCCCTAAGAAAAATAGTCCCTCCCGCCCACTGTGTGTTTCCACAGCTTCCCACTTCCCTCATGGCCCTTTCTCCAGGCTGTGGTCACTGACAGTCGGTTTGCTCCGGGGTCTTCTTCTCTACCCACCGGTGAGCTCCAGGAGGGTAAGGACCTTGGGACCCCATGCCTGTATCCCCGGCACTGGTGCATGATGGCTGCTCAAGAAATGTTGGTTGAAGGAACGAAACATGAAAAGCATCAATGGTGTTCACCCTCCTGGAATACTTTATGAAGGAGAAAATGGCATTTACTGGGTAACTATGATATGTAAGGCTCTCTCACATATTTCATTTTGCTGAGTCTTTACATCCATGACACTCTATCCACTGTTCAGAAGATGAAGTTGGGGTTCAGTGACCTGCCTGAGGTCACCCAGCAAAGGGTGGCCTGATGGGTTCATTCAGCTGGGAGGCGGCCAATGGGCACGAAGGGCAAGAAGAATACCATGGCAAATGGGGGTCGGGACATAATCCCAAGTCTGTTTGCTTCTACCCAAAGCCTATGATTTTTCACTACACCACACCTCCTGCCACATGAGAACTCGGCCCAAGAACGACAACCAGGTTTTTAGATTCCGAAAGGCAGGGTAAGACCCAGATTGCATGGAAAGGTGGTCTGGCTTAACGGTTATTCGAGTGGGTCTTGGTATTGAATAGAGAGACCTGGGCTCAAATGGGGGCCCTGCCACCTTGCACCGGGGCACCGTTGCTGAAAGTGACCACTAGTATTGCTGGGCTAGAGCATCTTTGCTCCTGGGAAGGAAGTCAGCTGTGGGGGTGTCAAGGGGTACACTGGAAAAGTTAAGGCTTCCAAGTCCTGCAGGAGCCCCTGCACCCCTGGAGGCAGGTGGTCTTTGGGTAGTGCCCTCTCCTCACTGAGCCCCAGTGGTCATTTTTGGAAAATGGGCATGCCAGCATGGAGTCAAAAAGAGCTCTTAGGAAGATAAAGAGGAAAAATGACTGTGGAGTTGTTGGTGTATATAAAGTAACATGGAAATGTAAATTTTCTAAAAATAAGTCTATGTGAAATGCAGAGAGAGGTTGGGGCTTGGACGACCTCTTGGGTTCTTTCAGCATTTTTTGGCACCTACTGTGTGCCAGGTGCTGTGCTAGGGCCTGGGGTACAGGGATGAGTCAGACATGGGCCTTAAGCCCCCTGTCTACAGGGGGAAGGGAGCTGGGCACATACAGTGCTGGGATTCCTCCCAGAGGGATGGTAGGGGGAGACTTTCTGTGTGATGTGGTAGCAAGAAGAGCCAAATGGACCTGAGCTGAAACCTTCCCCTCCTCCCTGCATGACCTTGAGTAGGTCAGGCCACCTCTCCAAGCCCCAGGCCTTTATCTGTGAAAATGGGCCGGTCCCCTTTGCCTCTCAGAGTTGCCAGGACACGACACACTGTAAGTACCACCTTGTGGGAGACCTTGGGATGGGCGAAGCCAATAGGTCTTCGACAGAAACTGGTCCTGACTTGGACAAACTGGGCCTCAGGCTTGGGTGGTGACTTGCAGGACAGGCCCCAGGACATGTGGGCTAGGCCCCAGGGAACAGCAGGGCGAGAAACACAGCAGTTAAGAAAGGAGGGCAGAAATTCTGGGGAATTGGCTTGTGCCTTTATTTATGTTGGTAATTTCACTAAGGGGGAGGGGGCTGGCTCTACTCAAGCTAAGCCCTGGGGAGAGGAGGTGGATGGCAGGCCACCTGAGTTTACTCAGCACAAGATTCTAGGCCAAGGCACACCGACAAAGGCAGGGTAGCTCAGGCTGAATTTATGGGTGTGTTGAGTGTGCATGAAGCCTTGGTGGGGTTGGCCTGGGCGAGGCCACCCGCCAATGTTGACCACGGCCCCGGGGGCCTGGGGTTGTCCCAAAGCAGTGGGGCTGTCAGAAGCCAGGCTGGCCAAACTTTGGGGAATTTGGGGTGAGGCTGACGGGCCCCATGGACGGCAGTTAGGGGCTCCCTAGGGGAACACTGCTCTTCTGGCCCCGGGCTCGCACCAGAGGTCAGGCCAGTTGCCGCGAGGGAAGGGGCCCTGCCCTGTACCTCCAGTGCCGGGCTAAAATCGGGCGGGGCTGCCCGGGGAGGCCTGGACGCCAGTGGCCGGGCGGGGTCGGTGCCCTACTCCCTGTGAGACCGCCAGGTCGGGTCGGAGCGCGGCCTGGGAGGCTTGGGCCAGGCCCGGACAGAGGGAACTCAGTCCCAGGGCTGAGCACTGCGCGCCTGCGGCTCCTGCCCTCCCAGTGGCTGCGGGCGCGGCAGCCTCCGCGCCCCCAGGGGCCGGGCCGGGGCGGAGGCTGGGCCCCGCGGGCGGGCGCGGGAGGGTGGAGGGGACGGCGGCGAAGGCTGCGACGCTCTAACAGGTGGGATCCCGCGGCGTGGTGGAGGCGGGCGCGGGAGGAGGAGGAGGAGGAAGAGCAGCGGCAGCGGGAGCCTGAGCAAGAGCAGGATGAGCCGCGCGAGCTGACAGCCGCCGCCGCCGCCCGCGCCCAGGCTCGGTCTCGCTCTCCGCGCCCGGGGCCGCTCCCCGCCTCCCGCCTCCCCCTGCCGCCCGCGGGGCGGCCCGCCCCCTCTGCACCTCCGGGCCCGGAGCTGCCTCCATCGCTCCTGCATCCCGGCCGGGGGGAGGAGGAGGCGGAGCAGGAGGCGAGCCGGAGCCGCCGCCGCCAACGCCGCCGCCGCCGCCCGAGCAGGACAGAGCGCGCCGCAGCCCCGTGCGTCCGGCCGCCGCCCGTGCCCATCAGGCAGCCGCGCCGGAGCCACACCGCGGGACAGCCCGGGCCGCGGCGCGCCCCGGCCCGGCCCAGCCCAGCCCAGCCCAGCCCAGTCCCGGCACCGGGCGGCCGGGTGGCCGGCCCGCCCCCGAGGGCGCCGGGCGCGGCGGGAGGATGCCGAAGCCGACGCTGCTGCTGCGCGGGGGCTGGGAGCGCGAGCGCAGTCCCGGGGACTCGGAGCTGGGCCGCCAGTTCCGGGACTGGTGCCTGCGCACCTACGGCGACTCGGCCAAAACCAAGACGGTGACACGCAGCAAATACCAGCGGATCACCGAGGTCCTGCAGGGCGGCGGCGGGACGGGCGCGGGCAGCGGCCCGGCGGCCGGCGAGAAAGGCAAGTTCCAGTTCTGGGTGCGCTCCAAGGGCTTCCGCCTGGGCAGCAGCCGGGAACCCAAGATGGGCCAAGTGGTGTATGTGCCGGTCAAGACGGGCTCGGTGAGTGCGAGCGCGGCGGCCACGGGCCGGTCCCGCCGCGGGGCTCGGGGCGGGCGGGGGCGGGGTGGGGGTGTGGATGTGTGTCCGAACCTGTGTCCCTGAGGTTGTCCGTGTGTCTGGCCCGCCCGAGGCGCACGCGTCCCTGCTCACCCGCCCGCCCTGGCCCGCCCAGGCTGCGCTCCGGGTTCGGGGCGTCCCTGCCCCCCTCTGCGCCGCTGCCCGGGCCGTGGCCGTGCGGGGCGGGCTGTCCCGGGCTGCTCACCCCAGCATGTTCCGTCCTCCTGTCCCCTCCCCCCGCCAGCAGGCGGCTTCTCCGAAGCCCGTACCTCCCCCCCACCCCGCCCGCCCGCCCCAGGGCTGCCTGTCCCGGGCGCCTCGCGCTCCCGCCCCCGGGCCGGCTGGGCGGTGTGTGTGTGTGTGTGTGTGTGTGTGTGTGTGTGTGTGTGTGTGTGCGTGTGTGTGTGTGTGTGTGTGGAGGGTGGTGCCGCGGGCGGGGGGGCAGGGGCAGCCACGGGACGGGGAGTCCACTCGCCTCCCCAGTGCCCGGGGAGGGGGCCCGCCTGGGCACTGTCGCCCCGACCCCACCCGGGGCTGGCCCGGGGAGGGGCAGCCCGAGCCGCAGCCTGGCGCAGGAGCAGCCTCCCGCGGGTGGGTGGGGCGCCCCCTCCGCCCCCGGGGCCCCTGGCTCCCCCTCCCTGGGACGGGGGCGGCCTGACCTATCCATCCTTTCCCCTCCCCCGTCCCCGGGGCCAGCCCGGTCCGGGCGGGGTGGCGTAGGGGAGGGGGCGGGGAACCGCAGCAGCCGGGAGGGAGGAGGCGGGCTGCCGGGCGGGGGCGTCCCCTCCGGCCCGGGGCGCCCTGGAGAGGGCGTGCGGCGCGGGCCCCGCGGCTCCCCCGCCGGGACCTCATTGTTCTGCAGCGGGTGGGGGCTGGGGGGGTCAGCTGCTCCCGGGGCGCTGCTGAGCTTTGAACTTTCCGTCGCGGAGACCCTCCACGAGTGCGTTCAGCCCCGGGCCCGCTCGGGCCGGGCCGGCCTTCCTCCCTGCCCCCCTCACTCCCTCCCTGGCCTCGCCCGGCCGGAGCGAGCGAGCGGGGCCGCCCCGCGCCGGCCTCCCTCCCTCGCTCGCTCTCCGGCTCCCCCCTCTGTGCTCCTCCCCCGTCCGGCCCGCCCGCCCCGCGCTCAGCCCGGTCCCCGGCCAGAGCGGGCTCTTCACACACAATTGATTCGGTCGTTACGAAAAGTGCACTTGTCCCCTCCCCCTCCTCCTCCCCCTCCGGCGGCCGCCCGGGCCCGGCCCGCGGGGTGAGGGGGCCGCGAGGGAGGGAGGCGGGAGCCAGGGAGCGGATCCGGAGGCGCCTCCCCCCTCGCCCAGGGGACGGGGCTGCAGGCCGCGGGGAGTGGGGCGCCGCGAGCGCGGAGGGCGGGCGGCCCATCTGCGAGGAGCGCTGATAACCGCGCGGCTGCCGCTGCGGCCGCCAGCAGCCCATCTGCGCCGCTGCCGCCTCGGGCCGGACCCGGAGCAGAGGGCCGGGCCGGGCCGGGGGCGCGCCGGGGCCCGATTCCTGAAGGGGAAGGCTGGGGCAGAGTCCCACCCGGGGAGAGTCAGGGACCACCCCCTACCCCAACCTAAATCAGTGCTCTCCCCCAGACCCAGGGAGTCTGGGTCACAGCCCCCTCCCCCGGTCGAGTTAGGGACCCCTCCCCCAGCCTAAATCAGTGCCCACTTTCCCACGCGGGGAATATGGGTCATTGCCTCTCCCCAGCCTAGGTCAGCCCCTCCTACCCTGCCAGTTCCTATCCTTCTCGTTTCTCCCCAGTCTTGGGCTAGTGTCCCTAGCCTAAGTGTGGGTTTTGGAGGTCAGTGACCCACCAGATGGTTGGCTGGGTCTGTGCCCCTACCTCGGGTCATTGCCCTGAGCCATCTAGGCTTCCCAGATCAGTTAGGGCTGCCCCCCACCCCCATCCACTGCATCAGGGTTATCCCTCCCTAGGGAGCTGGGAGCCTTGGCCCAATCTCCTTAGTCTGAGGCAGAAGCCCTCACTGCACCGACTCCTGGAGTTGGGGGGCAGTGACCCTCGGACTTGGCAGCTGGCTCACGGGTTCACTGTGCAGGTCTAACTCCCCTCTAGGGAGTGGGTGTGATAGGGCAGTCCCCCTAACCCCTCAGCGGCACAGCTGTCAAGGTGGAGCAAGCGCACACACCAGCTCCAGGCCACATGCAGAAATTGGGTGCTGGGTCTGGGCCCCAGTCGGCCAACCCAGCCAGTCTCTTCACAACCTTCATGACGCCCACACTGACCTGCCCTGGCAGGAGGAGCCCCATAAGCCTCCACTGTGGCTCCCAGACCAATAATAAGCCTTCCCCAAGGGACCACCTGCCTGGGAGGCAGAGAAAGGGGACCCAGGCCTCCCTGCCCAGGCTGCCAGAAGGATGACAAACACAACAGACATGCCCTCCTGTGACAACCCGCCCCTCAAGCTCCCCATGCCCGCCTGCCTAGCCTGCTGGTCCCCAGAGAGCCTGTTAGTTACCTGCCACTTGCCCAGCCAACCGGAGCCAGCCGGCAGGAGATGCCCCTAGTCTTGCCACCCCCATCTTCAAGCACCTTCCTGGGGCTCAGTTATTATTTTTACATTTCCATTTTCCTTTTCACTGATCTAAGAGGAATGAATCCTGCTGGGAATTCAGGGGCAGCCATTGCCTCTTCCTGAAAGGGCCTGAATGGGACCTTCTTTGAAAGGTGCCGAGGACATCCCCCACCTTCACTGGCCTGCACACGTACACACACACACACACACACACACACACAAAGTTATTGTTGCCTCTGGTGGCAGTTGGGAAAGATCCTGTAGTTTTGTCCTGGGTGGGTTTTATGAAGGTCATTGGGCCATAAACCTTTGTCCAAGGCATTTGTTTAGCACCCACAGGCCTGTCGAGGGGCACTGGGGCATTGGGATGGGTTGGACTCTGTGCCTGCTCCCAGGTCACACAGCTGGCGGGGGAGGTGGGCACAACTGAGGGGATGATCAAGACGCCAGGCAGAGCAGTTCCAGGAAAGAGGAGGTGTGGGAGTTTGGTCATCCAGTGGTCGAACGAGGGTGCCCTGCACGGGCTCAAGTCCCAAGGGTAGCTGTGGTGTGTGTCTCTCGTCCATGTTGCTGCCCCTCCCTGGGCCCCCTCTCCTCCTCCCACAGCCATATGTGGTGCCGTGGTCGGGGCCCTTCCCTGAGTCCCGGCCAGCAGCGGGTCGATGATCTGACACCACTTGTCCTGTCCCATCTGGCCCTGAGCTTTTCTGGGTGTGTGTGACAAAGGCTTAATCTGTCCGGACCGGCCGAGGGCTGAGAGGAGGGCAAGGGGAATTACACTCTGCCTGGGCCTCCTGCAGCTGGGGCCCGGGTGGGGGGCGGGGCAGGGCGGGGGTCGAGCAGAAGCCTGGGCGTGGGGGGGTGGGTGGAGAGGCAAGTTGGTCTTCAGTTTGCAGGTTGTCACAGGAAATAGAAGTGGAGGCGGAGGGCTGAGGGGAGGAGGGCGGAGTCCTCCACGCTGGGCACAGGGTGCTCATGGGGATAAGATCTTTTTATGACAAGAGCCAGCCGGGCCTCCTGGCTGGGCAGGGCCTGGGTAGGATTTATTATTTCTTGTGTTGACTGCTCCAGCCTCCGTGGCCTGCCAAGCCGGGGAAGCGAACGCCCCAGGGGTGAGACCCTCTGATTCCTTTCCAGTGTCAGCCACAAAGTGAACCAGCCGCCTTCCTTTTCCTCTGGTCTCTCAGTGGGACGGTCTCCGGGGCCTGCAAGGGCCGCGGGTTGTGTCTGCGGTGGGACCCTGGGCCATCTGTCAACACCCTGGCCCAGAGGGCCTGGGGGCAGTCCTGGAGAAAGATGTTCTCAGCCCAGCTCCACCATCTACCGGATGGGAAAACTGAGGCCCTCAGGAGAGGAAGTTTCTGTGGATAGGGCGCCGGGACTGGGACGCAGATCTTGGTGCTCCACTGTGGCTTCTCTGTGGCCTGTCACATGCTGGGGACCCCCACCCCGCCCCGCCCCCCCATTAGGGCCTCATTCCCTGAGGGGAAACTCCAGATTGCCAAACTCCACTCTCAACCCCCGGCTCTTGTGAGCTGGACCCCAGGTGCTCTGCTGGCCAAATTGACTAATGGTGGTCTTTTCCCAGTTTGCAGACAGCGTTCATTTAGTGGAGAGCATTTTCACAGTCTTCGGTCGTTCTCCCCAGAGCTTTTGTGTAAACCTTTGGCACCTGCGGCCGCTGGCCTGGGCGGGAAATGGCCTCTGACTTAGCTCAGTGTAATATATGCTGTGACCTTCGGTTGAATACCTTAGTATTTCCTGCTTTTCTTCAAATTATCACCGCAGTGGCCCTTTCTGGGTTACTGCTCTGTGCCCGTCGCTGTGCTGAGACGCTGAGACGTGGTGACCTATCGTGTTCTCGCAGCAGCCCGGGTCAGTGCCGTTATTACTGCCATCCCTCAGATGAGTAAACTGAGGCCCAGGGAGGCCCCGAACGCCACCAAGGTCGCTGCCGATAGGGACAGGCCCTGAGCTTGGGTACCGCCCACACGCACATCCATTCTGACCCTGTCTGAAGTGTCACGCATCCTGACCCAGTTTGAAAGCCCAGGTCCTTCATGACAAGCTTTTGGTCCATTACATCTTAGTCTGCAGTAGTTTGGGAGACTCCCTCTGGTTAACACGTCTGTAATCGTAGGCTGCTGCTTGAGGCAGGATTGGCTCTGTGAGGTGTCTGAGGGCTTTCCTGGGGTTCGCTAGGATGGGTATGGGGTAGGAAGAAGGGAGGAGGCCTCTGCTGTCTGGGGTCCTGGGGGACTTTGGGGTGAAGGTTGCCAGTGGCGTCTGGCACGGGCCCCATTTGGATTTCTCATGGCAGACGTGGGCTATTTTGTTAATTAAGCCTCGGTAATTCTGGTGAATATGGTCTTGGGGACTCTGGGGGACTGCATTTTAGAGCTTGGGTGA